TTGTGATAGTGTACCATGATTCATGATGAAAAATTATTTCAATAGTGTATCAACATTTAAAGATATTCGGAGTAACGAGAATAGCTCGGACGTTAATTCAAATGATTCGACATTATTAAATAATAATATGTTGGATCAAAATAATTGCCTAATATGAAATTAATTTGACTGATAAACTCATGACAATCATGTCAATTTTGAATCATTGGAAGTTGATCTTGGACAGAGGGAAAAAATTGCAGAATTTGAATACTAAAATTACAAGAAATAGAGGGGACAAATGTGTGCAATACGGAGCTCTATTTCATTTAGCATAGATGAATGGAATGGATCACCTTATTGCACACATTTGCCCACTCTACATACTTACGGTTTTAACAACTAACAATAGAAATAATATACTAATTTTATACTTTTTCATTTGTCGTTAGAGATATATCATGGAAATTACAAAACAAAAATATGCTAGATGTACGCCCTCGGCCTGGGGTACACCTTATATAAATGTCTCTTACTTTTTACTTCTCTCTCTCAACCATCTTCCCTCTCTCCATCATATGCACTCCCTCCTCCCTCCTATTCTCCTCCCTTCTTCTCTCATTCTCTCCATCCATGACCCATTTGTCCTCCCTTCTCTCATTCTCTTCCCCATACCTATTTTCTTTCCCCTTTTTTCTTTCATCACCCAATTCGACCGGCCATACCTATGTCCAAATTTGGAATTTTACACTTTACATAACTCAATTTTTTTATTTAATTATTAAAATATCTTTGAATGTGCATATTAAATTATTAAATTTATGGTATTTAATTGTGTACCCTGATTCATGATGAAAAAATATTTCAATTGTGTACCAAGATTTAAAGAAATTCGTAGTAACGTGAGTATTTCGGATGTTAATTCAAATGATTCGACATTATTAAATGAAGGGTTGGATCAAATAATTGCTAAATATGAAATTAATCAAACTGATAATCTCATGACAAACATGTCAATTTTGAATCATTGGAAGCTGATTTTGGACAGAGGAAAAATATTTGCCGAATTTCAATGCTAAAACAATGAGAAATAGAGGGGACAAATGTGTGCAATAAGGAGCACTTTTTCATTTATCAAAGATGAATGGAAGGGATCACCTTATTGCACACATTTGTCCACTCTACATACTTATGGTTTTAACAACTAACAATAGTAATAATATACTAATTTCATAATTTTCATTTGTCATTAGAGATATATCATGGAAGTTAAAAACAACAATATGTTAGATGTACGCCCTCGGCTTAGGGTACACCCTATATAAATGTCTTCTACTTTTTACCCCCCACTCTCAACCATCTTCCCCCTCTCAATCATATGCACTTCCTCCTCTCTCCAATTCTCCTCCCTTCTTCTCTCATTCTCTGGATCCATAACTCATTTCTCCTCCCTTCTCTCATTCTCTTCCCCATACCTATTTTATTTCCCCTTTTTTCTTTCATCACCCAATTCGACCGGCCATACCTATGTCCAAATTTTGAATTTTACATTTTAAATAACTCAATTTTTTGAATCAATTATTCAAATTTCTTTGAATGTTCATATTAATCTATTCAATTTATGATATTTAATAGTGTACCCCTGATTCATGATTAAAAAATATTTCAATAGTGTACCAAGATTTAAAGAAATTCGGAGTAACGAGAGTAGTTCGGATGTTAATTCAAATGATTCGACATTATTAAATGAAAGGGTTGTATCGAATAATTGCTAAATATGAAATTAATTAAACTGATAATCTCATGACAAACATGTCAATTTTGAATCATTGGAAGCTGATCTTGGACAAAGGGAAAAAATTGCCGAATTTGAATGCTTAAACTATGAGAAATAGAGGGAACAAATGTGTGCAATATGGAGCGCATTTTCATTTATCAAAGATGAATGGAAGGGATCACCTTATTGCACACATTTGCCCACTCTACATACTTACGGTTTTAACAACTAACAATAGTAATAATATACTATATTAATTTCATACTTTTCCATTTGTCGCTAGAGATATATCAAGGAAATTAAAAAAAAAAATATGATAGGTGTATTGTAACACCCCCAATTTCCCACCCAAAATAAACCTTGAAATAATAATTTATCCAAATGGAAATGGTGAATTTTATTTGGAAATACTTAAAATGTTGCAGCGGAATAACAAAAAGGAAATTGAGCGTGTTACCGCCACACTTAGCACAGCCATAGCTAAGTGCACAGGCTAACCAAAATACTTGTCCAGATATTCTAAAGTGAGGGAAATAGAAAAGTAAAGATGTCCATTACATGCTCTTAAACCAAAAGTTCGTAAAGTAAAGTCTTATTAATGAAGATGTGTCTAAATAGCGCCCTCAAGAACTCAAGCATGCTAATCATCATCCTAAGGATAATCATCTATAAAAAAAAGAAGAGAAAAGCAAACAAGGAAACAAAATTAGCCGGAAATGCTAAGTAAGTTCACCCAACCCCGTAAAATAATCATGTTTGATACATATATATAATTTTTGCAAAACATTTTGGAGGAAAACCTTTTAAAACATTTTATACCATTCATAACTAAAATAGTATTTATAAAACTTTTAATCACAAAATTCACAAGTAATATAATAATAATTAAAATATAGGCACATATTTCCAAATCACAATAATTTCCAGAAATACCAATATACATCAAAAGGTGTTATTCTCATGTATCATATTTCCAAAGTATAATTTTCCAATCCAGTACAATAAAATTCTCTTCTCTTTGAGTTTCTCAAAAATTCTTTTCACTAAGCCTCCTAATAATTTAGAAGGGCGATGCTCAAGTTCTTATTGAGCCCGGTGGTCCGTTGTTATGTACGGCCACCCCGGACTTTTTACCGGTACCACATCTTCCCCATATAGAATCTGAACCTCTACCTTAAGTGTGCACACCCCCTGAAAGGGATTCCAAGCCCTCCGGGTAGTAAGAAGCCCAAAGTAGTCGGGATGTTTTCTACCAACTACTTCACCCAAAATTTTAATTCTAAGTGACCAGGTACCACTACTATTGCCAATATTCACCAAATATTTATCGTTCGGGATTTTTCTACCGAACGCACCAAAATCATTTATTTAAATTGTTCGGATTGGTTACCGAACCCACCAAGCAAATAGTAGTATCCCTAATCACTCATTCACAATTAACGGTCGTGAAGGGAACCGACACCACGGATTTCTCCCGCGATGCCCACCTTTAATTTATGAAAATCGTTTAGTCTTTTATCTCTTCCCAAAATTTTATATAGAAATCCTTCACAATTAACGGTCGTGAAGGGGACCGACACCACGGATTTCTCCCGCGATGCCCACCTTTAAAAATATTGATTTTTCTTTGTTTTCCAAAAACCAATCAGAAGTTCGTATCTTTCAGAAATGCTAAAATCTCCATATATTTTCTCAATAATCCAATTTAATCACAACACCACCAAAATATTCATCAATAGAAAATCTCCCAAAAATCATATACAATAACTCATATCAAAATCCAATAATAACGAACCAATATCTTAAGTACAAATAATATCATACAATAATAGTCACTCAAATTCAATACACATAAATAAAATTCTCAAATATGCACATAAAAATATTCAATATAATTACGAGGCAAAAGTATAATTTTGGTTGCAATAGAACTTACCTCAAACTCCAAGTACTCCTAGTAAAATCTTCTACTTTGCTTCCTCTTCAAATTCACCTTCTATTAAAATTTCTAGTCAATATCTTATTCAAAATATAATTGAATTCTTCTACTCTTTTTTTTCTTTCTAATTTCCCTTCTTATGATTCAATTGTATTTATTTTGTTATTAACCCATAGTTATATTTATTCCCATCAATTATCTAATTCATTATTGGTTTAACTAGCCCAATTATACTTTATTCATTTATTATTCACCATATATTCTTATTATTGTCCATTTACAAAAGAAGTCCAGATTACGCTGCCAAGATTATATTATTAATAACAAGTCTAATTATAATGGACAATTAATTTTACTTAACTAAAATTTACTAATTAATTACAAAGTGGCAAATTGAAAAGTGAACAATACAATCCATTACCAGTATTCCTACAATCCATTTTATTATAACCATCCTTATTAGTATTATTATTTGATGATTTTCATTATATTATTATTATTATTATGATTATTATTATTATTATTATTATAATTATTATTATTATTATCATTATTATCATTATTATCATTATTATTATTATTATCATTATTATTATTATAATTATTATTATTATTATTACTGACTAGCCCAACTAATTTTTAAACAGCCGGATCCATAAAACAGCGCAGTTTAAATGATTTGAGCGGCCCAGATTGACGGATGGAATTTAAGAGTACAATACGTACTCTTTACTCTACGCAGTCCGGCGACCGGCGGAACAAAGGTGATTGGTGGCGAGCTCAGATGGCCTCCTACCTATCAGCAGAAATGGCGCACTCTATCACGTAGCTAGGCAACAACGTTGTTTGACGACAGCAAACCCCGTGTGGCGGGCCGGCGGCAGTAAATTGGTTTCTTCTACGACGACGAAGTTACTGCACTCCGGCGCTCTTCTTGCCCACCAGTGAATTCGTCCGTCTCTTCCCTTACTGCTAAGTACGACACTAATCAAGGGAGTCTGAATTTGGTGGGTTCTCAAAACACGGGAAAAGTTAACATGCATTGCAAAAACACGGGAAAAAATGTTAGGGTTCTAAGAAAACGAAATTCGGAAGACCATATTCCGAATAGATTAGGGATCCAATAGGTCTTTCTCCATTCGGAAACACATGTTCCGAATTCAATTTTTTTTTCTTTTTGTAATCCCATTTGGAAGATGATCTTCCAAATCAAATTTTTTAAATATTTTTGTTATCCATTCGCATTTGCATGATGGAGTTACAAGTGGCACTTTTTATTTTTATTTAATCATACAAATTAAATTATTTAAATTAATATGAAATTATTTTTAATTAATAAATAAATTAGATCCCTTTCAAAAAAAAATATGAAGTGGACGTCTTAGTATTTTAATAAACAGATCGGATATGGTACATATGATCTCATCCGATCCGTTCAGGATTCAGACCCATTTAAAATTTCTTACTAGTATACGTACAAACACATACTAATACATAAAGTGATTAGTTATCATTCTCGTCCTCATCTTCTTCATATTCTTCATATTCATCTTCATCTCCCGCAGCAGCTGTCTCTATATGCGGCACAACGTAACCGCGATGATCTTGCCTTGGAGGAGGCATGGGATCGGGCTCATAGTCAGCATCTGGGTAATGGAAGATGCCTTGGTGGAGCACCTCTTCTACATCTAATGCTATAACGCATTGTGATAGCCGATCTTTAATATCCTCATGATCGGCCAAATTATCAGCGAGCTGATAGGTATCATGAATGCATTGCAACTGCAATCAAAATTAATTAGTGTAAATATTATAAAGGAAAATTTGTTAATTAATATCGTATGTAATTAGAAACTTACCGTAACACCCAACTCACGTATCGCAGGGGTGTAGCCTGTCCTGGGTGTAGCGTGCGAAGGATTCACGACACGTTTCCAACCGGTCCGCGCGTACCACGTACGATGCCCATCAGCCACATTCCGCCCGTCAAGCGGGGGCCATGTAGGTTCGTATAAATGCATATCTCGTTCCGCCCACAATGCTAAGGAAGTTGCGCTAGCGCGGGAGCTAATAGTGTGATGGCATGTACCTTGGAGAGTGGGTTTCGGCTCTCTCTGAATGGCAAAGAAGTGTCGACAAAACCGATCGGGGTAATGCCTCTCCGCATAATCGCAAAAAATGAGCATAACCTCGGCAAACCAAAGCCTGGATTGATTTCTGATGTCTTCAGGGAGATTACCCAATGGATAGGGGGTCCATACAAACTGTAAAAGTATAATGTTAATTTAACAATAATGAGATAGTTTGTACTAAAAGATAATTGTATTCAAAGTAGAATTCAAATCACTACTTGACTCTCCCTCATGCGGTCTAAGAGGTCTCGTAAAATGGGCAACGCATGTCTTCCCCCCTCCGAAAATGAATGGGGTCCGATCCATCTAAATTTATTGTTGACAAACATCATGTCAAAAATTTTAGAAAAACATACAACATTTTAATTACTAAGATTTAATTGGAATCATACCTACACCCATACGGAAGATGTCCAAGGTTGATGGGCCGAAGAAGTTGGGGACGCAACATAGGAAGCCTCTCCCAAGCCCAAAGCTGTAGCAAGTGTAGACAACCACCAATTTGCCTCGCATTCCACTTGCTGCCCTTACACAAGTAGTGATAGAGGAACCCGAGCACCGCCGATCCCCAACTCCATCGACGGGCATCCGCTAAGTCCCCATTCAAAATCTCTAAGAAATACAGTCGTATTTTATCCCCACTTGTGTTAGGGAACAAAAGACCGCCAAGCAACTGCCACACCACGACTCTAGCGTGTTGGGTGACCTCTTCTTCGGTACTTTCAGGGCGGATCGGGGTACACGTAATAGCACGACACTTAATTTCGACACCGCGCTCCAAATCACTCTCATGAGGAGTGAAACCTGCCAACTCTGTGCACATATGTATCCAAGCAGCATTTGTGTTTGCGGTTGGACCACTCAGGGGCATACCATCGATGGACAAACCCAATAGGATCGCTACATCTTGTAAACTGATCCCAACCTCACCAAAGGGAAGATGAAAAGTATGTGTTTCCGGTCTCCATCTCTCCACTAGAGATGTTATTAAGAAGTGGTCCAACCTCATGTTGCCAATCCGCTCTACGCCCAGAAAACCTGCATCGCGTATCAGCACCAACACTCTCGGATTTCGCTGCCCACCCGCATCGTATGCATCACGGGGGCAATTGATGCACTTCAATATGTCATTAAACGACGGGTCATGCCACACACGTTCGGCACGATGCGTATACGGAGGCAAGGTTAGTACTGAACGATCCACGGGGCCAGGGCGTGGAGTGCGGTCGGCCATTTTAAATCTACAATTTTGTACAATATAATAGGTACACATTAAGTGGAAAATATATAAACTATCAACATTACTCTAAACTATCAACATTACTCTAAACTAAAATTTTAGACAACACGTATTAAGTAAATTACTCTAAAACTTTTTAACTAAAATACTCTACACTAAATAATCACGAATTAACTAAATTTTTAGCTAAACATTTTTAACTTTTTAACTAAACTTTTTAACTAAATTTTTAGGCAACGAATTGATTATGTGAAAATTAGGATGTTTTTACTTGGACTGTAATTCGTCCCAGACCAGACCAGACCAGACCAGACCAGATCAAACCAGACCAGACCAGTCTTGGATAGTTATAAAAATACAAAGAAACCAGACCAGACCAGACCAGACCAGATCAGACCAGACCAGACCAGCAAATTACAGTCCAAGTAAAAACATCCCTAGTCACTAATTAATCACTTTTTAGGCACTACGTAATTAATCAATGTTTATGCACTACGTAGTCAAAATTATTCACTATATGAAAACTTATATCACTAATTATTGTAAAGTAATTAATAAACTATTTTTCTCTAAACTACTTATTGCAACTTAATTTAAGAGTACTAACCTGAAAATTGAACAATTGGAATCGAGATATTTTGGAATTAGCGTGGCCGTCGGATCGTCTGATTTGGAGGAGTTGTTGAATTTGGATTGTGATTTGGATTTTGGACGTAGCGAATCGTTATATATACGGAGTGAAGATTCCCCAACCGTCCGATCTACCAAAAATATACTCCACAACCGTTCGATCCCAGCCCTCAGCTCCCATTCGGAAAAGCAACTTCCGAATAGGATTTGTGCTTTTTCAGTTTCGAATGCCAACTTCTGGCATTAAAGTGGGTGGTTCCAAATTAAAGTAAGTGGGTGGGTGGAATTTAAACTAGACCAGTACGAATTAAATTTATGAAATTTAATGTAGACCAAATTAAAAATATATGGTCCGTTCTGAAATGGTCTGATCTCATAAATGTTTGGTCTTTGTGTATTTTATAATTACGGAATTCTATTCTGATCTAGTCTATTTTGGTTTGTTTAAGTACGGTCGGGTTTGTTTTCATTTGTTTAAGTCTGATCTTGTCTTGTCTGGGATTGAAAAGAATCCAAGTAAAAACATCCTTAATACATTACCTGATTAAACCAAAACATACACTCCTAATACAGTCATATAATATGTATCTGATTAATTTATCTGATAAAAACTAAAACACACTTTACTAATACACTACTCTTGCCCTCTCCTCCTGGGACGCAAATCCATCTCATTTTGAAATCTTGTTCGTTGCGACCTACCAAGTTGAACAGATCTACGATTCTTAGGCGGTAATATGATATACTGATTATCCGGAAAATCATTGAGGTCCTGGATTGGCATAATATCCGTAGCATACGTTTGGATATAGGCATTTAATGTGTAAACCTCTGGAATGAGTTGATCCGCCGTAATCCGTAAAAAGTGACAAATTGCGTATGCGTGAACACATGGCATACCGTTCTGCTTCCAGTATCCACAATCACATTCCCGCCGCGAAAGGTTTACCGTGACTGGTTGGTGTTTGCGTATGGTGACGGAGTAAATCCCTGCTCTACGGTTGTGCGGGAGGACAGTACTAAGGTGCCTTTGCTGCGAACGCTCTAGAAGCTCTTTCCATATGTTCTGCGGGTATAAATACCCTGCTTGGTGCCACATAGCTCCAGTGTTGCGTTGATCCGGAAAGAGTTGAACCACTTTATCGAATGTTGCTTTTATGAGTGCGGTGATTGGCAACGTACGACATCCCTTCAATATATGATTAAAACTTTCCGAAAGGTTTGTCGTTAGTATGCTGTATCTCCATCCATCATCATAGCTAAGTGTCCACCTTTCCACATCAATTTCATTCAAATATGCAAAGGCACTCGCATTGATGCCTCTTATTTGTTGCATGTAGTCGTGGAATTCGTTGCGGATAGGAGTGCTACCGGCTTGCCAGCACAACTTTTTCAATTCTGTGTTCCTGAATTTCGTCATGAAATTGCTCTGAATGTGACAGAGGCAATAACGCTTCGACACTTGAGACAATAGCAATTCAGGAACATTCCGAAATGCACTTTCGATACCGGCATGACGGTCAGAGATTATACAAACTGGACGATCACGTCCCACCACACCTTCCATTACGCTTTGCAAAAACCAGGACCAACTATTGGCATTCTCACTCTCCACAACACCATATGCGAGAGGGAAAATCTCACGATTAGCGTTCATGGTAACCGCAACTAGGAGAACACCCTTGAATTTGCCGTACAGGTGTGTTCCGTCAACAGAGACTACAGGCAAACAGTGACAGAAACCGTCAATAGAAGCTTTGAATGACCAGAACGCTCGACAGAATTCATACGTCTCATTAGTTTCGATCGGTTGTGATTGAATTTGAACAAGACTCCCCGGATTGGCATATCTTATTGCTTGAAACAGTTTAGGGACTTGATTATACGATGCCTCCCAATTACCGAATTTGCGCTCTAAAGCAATCAAGCGGCCATACCAATCCTTTTTGTATGAAACATGGATCTTGAATTTCTCATAAATGTCTAGAATTATGAGTTTTATTTTATAGTCCGGATCCGCCGACACTTTAGGACCTATCTCACTTGCTATGAGCTTGCTTGTTAAGATCCCGTCATCCTCGACTAGGAAGTAATCGGGTAAACAGGTGTGGATGGGTTGATATTTTTTCACCTTCCACACATGTGAGTTCCGGTCTGCTCCTGCTTGGATGTGCCACGAGCATTTGTTCGCAGGGTAGATGCACACAGCCTTCCATGACCTGGGACGTTTGTCATCTGACCGAAAAAATGAGTGTTGACGGATGTTTGCTCGGGCCACAACTTCTTTTAATTCATCATAAGATTTGAATGTGACGCCGACTGCAATCATTTCTGAATCACGATTTACAGCCTCGACATACGGTTCGTCTATCTCCAAAGTGGCCCATGTCATATCTACTGCCTCGTCGTTATCACTGCTAGAGGATGATTCAACATCACTACTATGTTGTTCAAAGTCGGGATCGTCCGAGTCCTCAGATAAGTTTGTGACTGTAAAAAGTAAATATACATTATGTATACCAATTTCAATAATTCATAATCATACATAAAAAAAGATATTTACATTTGAAATATTAAATTAACTATTATTTGTATTCGTGGATTAGTTAATGTTACACAAAGTTATTCAATGTCAAAATAATAAATAATTATTTTTACATTTTTTTGTTTTAATACAAATAACCGGAAAAAAAAATACGGTCATCAAGATCTGTTTGTTTTCTTTATTTTTTTACGTTTTTTTTTGTTTTTTATAAGTTTTAAAATATATTTATTTTAGTCCTAAAAGCTACATGTACACATTATTTTCACTTTTTTCATTTCTCTATTTTGATACTAATTTATTAAAACAATAGTACTAATAAATGTATGAATATATTAAATCACTAAATTTGAAATTTGATTAAACATGTAAAATGCATACCGGGAGACTGGAAACCCTGAAAAGTGGATGTGTTTCTCCTTCGGCCATATGTTGATGATGGACCCTGCCCGATATCACCAAACGCAGCGGTAGTATTTGCAAGACCTTCGTCGCAGATCAAATTTTGTGGCGGGGCTATAGAGTTGTTTATAACATCCACGAAAATTTGCAATTCCTCGTACTCCTGGATTGCGACCCGTGAAAAATTACTCCATGACCGGTCATCGTGGATGGGCCACGCTCTAGAAGCAGCGTAGACCGAATTCTTAAATTTTGGCATTTTTCCGTAAATAGATTGTATTTCAGAAAACCCCGCTTCTCTTATGTGTTTTAGAACACCTTCATATAGAGTGTTAAAATCATCTCCTTTGCTAATGAACAATACTACCTTAGGAGGTATGGAATACTCTATTTCATTATCTTTTGTGATCATAGAGCCATTCCAATGAACAAGAACTGCACTATCCGCACTAGCCATTTGTAAATAGTATAGATTAAGAAATAATAGTATGAAGTGAGAAAAAACTATTGTGTGTTGTGGTGAAGAATTAAGAACGAAGTAAGGGTTTTAATAGGTGAATGGAGGGTAAAGGTAGGTAGAGAATGTGGAGGGGATGTGAACACGTAAATTATTTCCATTTGGAAATGATGTATCCGAATGGGTAGAAAATGTGGATGTATTAGAAAAACGTAGGCTAATTAGCCATTCGGATTTCAAACTTCCGAATGTGGATTAGGATTACAAAAATTAGAAAAATTAGAAAAGTTAGATGGATTGGCTTTTTAAATGGATTGCAAAAACTAGAAAAGCATTTTGGCTTTTTAGCCATTTGGATTTTCAACTTCCGAATTGGAAGTTACTTTTGACCAAAAAATTAGTCTCCATTCGCAATTATAACTTCCGAATCAAGCTGTCCACCAACCTAATTCATTCGGAATATAGAATTCCGGATCCCGTGTTTTCGTACCCTAAAAGGAACTCCCGTATTTTGGCATCCCTTGTTCAAAACTCCCGTCTTTTTGTCATTTCCTCGAATTTGGTTTCATTTTTTTTGTTCGCATGTGGTACATATATATACGATAGTATATCCGCAGTTCATAACCGTTACGTTCTAAGCTCGGCAGTCCGTTGGTTTTCATACTTGGCATGCTTTATTTCCTTGGTCCGTTACTCCGTATTATGATGATAATAATTAGCACGTAAGTGCTTTGCCATAACCGTTGCATGTACGTAGTATATACATTATGTATGTATGTATGTGTCATGTATAGTATAGATGTATGATATGTTACCTATGTATGTGTTTTTAGCATGTATGCATGAACCCACGTAATGTAGTATGATATATGTATGTGAGTTATGTGCATCATATCATCATCCAGGTATGGTGTGTTATGCTACGTAGTGCATTGTATCTAAGTGATGTATATGTATGAGTTAAGCTAGTATTATTATTTACTCGTATTATTTATTCTATCAACTTGTTTCACTTTTATTTTTTATCAGATAATTTGTATCTGATTTTATTTTAAGAGTTTTTTATTTTGAAATTTTTGTGGTGTCAGAGCAACCCTGCGACAGTGTGCTGATCCGTTGGATATCGGGCAGACACTTATCGGGCGCAACGAGGATGTTACGTTCCTAAGTGGGGGTGATTGTAACATTTGAGATTTAATTTAAATGGATTAATAGTACTACTCATACCAACAAGGTGCATCTTCTTTTAAGGGAGCTCATTAGCCAAAAATTCCAAAGTTAAGCGTGCTTGCACGAGAGTAGTCTTGGGATGGGTGACCTCCTGGGAAGTTTCTCAGGGCGTGCACGAGTGAGAACAAAGTGCGCGGAAAAGGCTAGTGACGGTTTGTGAGGACAGTACTAGAGGTCAGAAGTAACTACCTCGGGGCCTATGGAGCCGGGGTGTTACTTGTATGCCCTCGGCCTGGAGTACACCCTATATAAATGCCTCCTACTTTTTACCCCCTCTCTATACCATCTCCCCACTCTCAATCATATGCACTCCCTCATCCCTCCTATTCTCCCTTCTTCTCTCATTCTCTCCATCTATAATCCATTTATCTTCCCTTCTCTCGTTCTCTTCCCCATACCTATTTTCTTTCCCCTTTTTTCTTTCATCGCCCAATTCGACCGGCCATACCTACGTCCAAATTTTGAATTTTACAATTTACATAACTCAATTTTTTGAATTAACTATTAAAATTTATTTTAATGTTCATAATAAATTATTAAATTTATGATATTTTGATAATGTATACCCTGATTCATGATGAAACAATATTTCAATAGTATACCAAGATTTATAGAAATTCGGAGTAACGAGAGTAGCTCCGATGTTAATTCAAATGATTCGACATTATTAAATGAATGATTGGATCAAATAATTGCTAAATATGAAATTAATTTGAGTGATAATCTCATGATCAACATGTCAATTTTGAATCATTGGAAGTTGATATTGGTCTGAGGAAACAAATGTTGCCGAATTTGAATACTAAAACTATGTGAAAAAGAGGGGACAAATGTGTGCAATACGGAGCTCTTTTTAATTTATCAAAGATGAATGAAATGGATCACCTTTTTGCACACTTTTTCCCACTCTACATACTTATGGTTTTAACAACAAACAATAGTCATAATATACTAATATCATAATTTTTCATTTGTCGTTAGAGATATATCATAGAAATTAAAAAACAAAAATTTGTTAGGTGTACGCCCTATGCCTGGGATACACCCTATATAAATGCCTCCTACTTTTTACCTTCCTCTCTCAACCATCTTCTCTCTCTCAATCATATGTTGTCCCTCCTCCCTCCTATTCTCTCCCATCTCCTCTCACTCTCTCCATCCATAACACATTTCTCCTCCCCTCTCTCAGTCTCTTCTTCATACCTATTTTCTTTCCCCTTTATTCTTTTTTCCACATTCAATCATTATATCTTCACCAGCTTCATATTTAGCACCTTCAATTTTATTATTTTCATTTTACTATCAAAATCGTAATCGTCGAAAATGTCACCGGAAAATAACTACACACCGGAAATTATATAATTTATCTGTATGAAGAAACAAAACTGAAGAGCTAATAACACTTTAAAAAGTTTTCCATCAAAAAGTATGTATACAAATACTTGTTTTCTATTGTGCCTGTGCATGTACTGACAAAAAATGTAAGACAACTAATATTAGAGCTAAGTTGTCTGTATATAGTAGGGGTGGGCGCAGTCCGGCAAATTGGTAAAACTCGTAATGTATTAGTGATGTTTTTAACGGTCCGGTACGGTCCGGTTCCAAGGATAGAACCGTATGGTACCATGTCTTTTCGGAACGGTACAAAACGGTACGGTACAATGCCAAACACATGCTAAAAAAATTGAACAAATCTTGCAATTAGTAGATATCATCAAACCAACCAACTCACATGAAATGTTGAAATAAATACAAGAAATTGCATATATAGTACTAAAATTCACAAATACACAAATAGTGCAACACAACTAAGAAAAAATATAGCAAAATAATGACGCACGAGATAAACATCATCTTTAATTTACTAAGTTCATGTGAATATATAAAAACGAATATCATCAAATTGTTGAATATAATAGAGATCTTCAACGTTGTTCTTCTTCGTTGTAGGTTAAATATTACTCTGTAGTTCTAATTTATTTTATAGTTGAACCTTGAGAGCTAAGATTTAAACCATATTAATTAGGTTGAAAAAATTGCACAAACATGATACAACAAAAAGTCATGAACACTACATTACTAGAAATGAATAGTCATTAATGATTTCTAAAATTTTAATATTCCTTCAATACATACCAAAATAAAACATAAATTATATAAAAAGAAAAAATAGCAATATATATAAACACACACATTTAGATATCTTAGGGACACATGAATACATATTTGGGGTATAAAATTGTTGATCTATAAAAGAGAACTATTGATGTAGAAAAATATAAAAAATTCAAATGCATTATTTTCGAACGGTTCGGTCCGCTATTTTTCGGTTCTCAAAATCTAGGACCGGTCCCATACCCGTTTCAAATGGTACGGTTTCGGTACGGGATAAAAATCTATAGAACCGTTTATATATCAGGTATTCGGTTCGGTACCATTACGGGACGGTTCGGTACCGGTTCGATTCAGGTTTTATGCTCACCCCTAGTATATAGAGACAAAATAGGTTACACACAGACAACTAATGTCTGTGTACACCGACATTGGTTTGCGTGTCAATCACATTTATTGACGTACTTTTAACTTTAACCAAACAGACCTGCTCAGGCGCGCCTGACCAAACTCATCGTTCGGATTGCCCATTTAAGGGTTTTCCCGGTGGAATTTTTTGATGAATTTTTTGATCATGTTTCAAAATTTTAGTTAAATATCTCCCTGATTGAATTTTGAGCTAAAATATGGTGTGCATAAACTAGACTTGGTGAGGAACATGCTAAAAAAAATTCATCAAAACAGAAGGCCCTTAAACGAGCAAGCCCGCATGCACAACACTCCCTCTCATGTCAGGCGCGCCTGACAGATCTATTCTCTCTATTTCTCTCTCTCTCTCTCTCTCTATACACACACACATAGGGGACAGGTCCGGTGAGAATGATGTCTTAGGAGAGAAATGATAATTAAATCTAATCTTTCAATAATTCAATCCAATGGCCTAGCATTTTTCGAAGTAGTAACTAATTTGCAAGATTCTCGGATCATTAAGATGTTAAAAAAGCTAACCGTCCAACTTAAAATAAATTTAAGGGCACCATGGTAAAATCCATCCAAGTACTTGTCACGCAGCATTTTAATAGGAAAACTTCCTATATTATGTAACATTAATTTAGTTAAATATTTATGCTCCCTCCGGTCCTAAATAAACTTCACACTTTGACTTCACACAAATTAAGGAAATTATTTTGACTTTACTGTAGAGTACACTGTTGTGACACTGTTTGGCACTGTTTGGCACTGTTTTGCAATGTTTTGATGTAGATAATTTGCCAAATAAGGATGAGAGAAGAAGTGTGAAGTTTATTTTGGACCTACCCAAAAAGGAAAATGTGAAGTTTATTTAGGACCGGAGGGAGTATATTTTTGAAATCTAAAGAGAAATTACATGTTTACTATTTTATTTTGCACTGTTGTAAATTTCAATTTGATATATTTAGTTTGAACTTTCTAGAACATTAACTTACACTTTACAAATTTAGCTATGCACATCCATATATGTCTTAAATAAATATGAATATAACGATACAAAAGTGTAAACTACCAACTACAACATGCATTTAAAATACATACAAAGTGCATTATTATATCACATTTTCTAAAGTTCTACATTAAGACTCATTTACAAAAGAAATGCACTTTTACTATGTGCATTTTAAATATATAAAAGTGCACTTTCATATCGATATTTTCTAAAACTTTCATTGACATTTTTTACAAATTGAAAATGTTTTTTCTTCCGAAAGCATCACAATCTCCATTATGATAGTGTACCTTGGTATT